ACACAACATTAAGGATGTTCTGAGAACAGTGTACTGAGGGAGAAAATATATGGCAGAAAGAAACAAGACAGCAAAAAATGATTAGCTTCATAATTTGTGTTATTCATCATATATTAAGGTGATTAAATCGTAGATAATGAAATGGATGAGGCATATAGCACGCTGATGAGATAAGCAAGCAAAATGCATACTGCTCTGTCCCAAACTTAAGATGGCCACGAAATCATATGTGGAAGTGGAGGTGTAGGTCCACACATTAACGCCAGCACTAAATGAAGACGAGTGATCAAATTCCTGCTCTGGATACTTACCCCCCCTCCCCCCAAGAAAAATACACCAGTACCCACTGGACAGGAGGCTGGATGGTCCTTCAGAGATCTAGTATGGATTCTGAATACAATGATGAAGAGAAAAATCTTTGACCTTCAAGGAAATCAAACCTCATATTCCTTTTATGAATTTAATAATGCTGTGTAAACTCCACTGTCTATAAAGCACTGAAGCACAAGGTTATGTATCATGAGTTTGGGAGAATATGAGACTAAGAAACAGACATATGTAATAGTACTACCTACAAAGAGCAAAGTTTTCTTTTAGAAGGCGACAGTCACTCAGCCAAGACATAGCTGCCTTTTCTGAGATCAAAATGTTCAATGGCCAGGCACTGTTTGCTACCCTGAGACAGAATAAGCTATCTACACCTACGTCTCCAAGGTCATACGCCATCCAAAAAACAGTAAATATTTCCATAAACAGCATTAAACAATCCATCTTTGCAACGGAGGTGTGCGTTTTCTCTGAGGTAGGAACTGAAGGTTTAAGTATCATTAATACAAGCTTCGAGTTCAAAGGGCTGAATAAGTTTTACAAATTAGTATGAGCTCCATGGGTCATCTCATAATGTGAACTTTTGGATACCAGTGCTTCAAAAGAGTGTACTGCCTACAAGTCCACACAGCTTTTCGTGACAAGACTATGCTGACGTTCACCGAAACCTCTAAACAGTACTCAAGACCACATCCAGTTCATTATTCACAGTTTCCCTTCCAATACGTTCTATATAACCAATGCAAATGAAAAATCAGTGGTAAATGAACAAAGACTTAATCAAGAAATCCAGGAAGCATCATACATAGTAACTACAGAATATTTTGTGACATTAACAATAAAAAATCTCAGATCTGAAAATATTCAATAAAACCAGGAACACGAACTGGACTGAAAGGTCAAGGTTTCCTGCACCTGTGGGAGTACCCTTCCGTTACAGGGTCCCAGTCCAACGGAGGCTCCCACACACCATGCCTTATCCAGCAACCTGCTGTGGGTCACAAGGGGAACGATCTGTGGAAACTTGTTTCCTCTAACCATTTAAAACATGGAGGCACGAGCAGTTCATTCAGAACAACTAGTGGTTGCTTTAATCTCCATTTATGACTACATACAGTTAACTGTTAACCATAACTGTAACAAAAGTCGCAGAGATAAACGATTCACACATTTTAAGCAAGAACAGTGCCAATGCACCATGTATGCACTGTTTCCTTACTAAACACATTGCATTCCAGAAAACATATGTTACATATATAGGAAACAAGCGTCCTGAGAAGCTGTAAAATGCATGTTTAGTGTCACCTACATTTCATGTAATTATCCAGTCTAGAAAATGGAACATAAATTCAAGAATATGAGCTGTGATAATAAGATAACAGCTTGATTATTTAATAAAATCACAAGCAGCAATAAAATTAATAATAAATATGAGAGCAAGGAACAAAGAACAAAGGATATGCAGGGGGGAAGAAGGCATAATATAATGCTTCTCCTACCTTAATTATACCCCACCTTAATGCAGTACACAAACTACTGTAAACAAGGCTTTCTTAACCAAGTCATGGTGATGTAACCATTACGTCACATACACAGAGGAAAGACCACTAATTCCATAAGATCAAAACATCGCAGTATTGCCATTTCATGTAGTAAATGTCATTACCAAAAATAATGTTAAGTTAGTTATTGTTTATTACTGAGCCTCTTATGATATCTAAAGCAAAATACTGGTTAATACTTGACCTGTGTTGAATGTTTAATAATTTTACATATCATACATAATTACTGTGTATGAAATTTTTGTCAAGACCAGTTTCAATCTTCAGGACTGATATGTCTGGAATATTTAAATGTCTGGAAGGGAGGGGTCATGGGGACAGAGATGGTTTGTGATTGGCCTGTCCTGAGTACTAATCAATCAGATATTCACACTGGAGTTGTGGCTGTCAGAGAACTCCTGTCAAGAAATTGAGGCTGTCAGTATCTTCTCTGCTGATGTGTCTTGCATGATTAATAGTTTAGTGACTTCCATGATGATGCAATGAAAGCGATCACAGATATAAGTTATAACGCCTGTTTAGTTAGTCAATGCCATACTTCATTTCTACAGAATTTTAAATAACAATTGACCTCTGCATTTCCTGTTTGATGTTCCTTATACACTTGGACACTACATTATTAATATGTCAGCCATTTGTCTGATGTACACTTTCACCATAATAGCAGGGATTTTGTAAATCCTGGTTTGCTGAAGATTCTTAGACCTGAGAGCTCTTAGGTTTCAGTAGTATGCAGACACCTTCCTTCTTTAACATTACTGATACATATTTAATTCTATTACTACCAAAACCAGGACAACTCCAAAATTTGTTTCTTTGGCAGAGATGAAGTGGTCAAACACATAACCATCAAATGCAGTGCCTTACCCCACAACCACCAGGTATCCTCATAACAATGATGTTGCTGAATGCATTATGCAAAGAATATTTATGAAAAATTAATCCAACAAAAAAATTATCATTAACATCATCTTAGTTGTTGACTCACTACAAAAACTGAATTTTTAAAGGTTCTTTTGCTTTGTTTCTCTGGGCAGATTTTGAGACAGCAACTTAAAATAAGCAGGGATAGGACAAGTGTGTACATATGATACAAACAAAATTCTGGATACGTTTTAAACCATCTTCACAACAATACAGTAAATTTGAAGATTTTTGAAAGAGTGAAAGTTATGTTCATACCTGACAGAAAAACAAATCACATCTGACTCTCTACTCCTTGAACTTCCATTCCTGCCGACACATTGGACATAAGTGTTGAACTTGTTGAGAATTCAGCCACTTCATAATACAGTGGATGTGGAAACAGTGAGAACATTGACCCCACACTGTAATCAATACATGTATTTAGACATAAGAACAGTAAGTGATATACTATATATGGTATGCATGAGAATTAGAGTGAATGCATTATGCAAAGATTATGTATAAAAATTAATCTAGCAAGAAATTTATCACACTGTTATCTTTGCTGGTGACTGGCTATCACAACTTAGAAAGGGAGAGAGTGGCAAAAAGATACAGAAACAGACACGCGAAATTAAAGGCTAAAAAGACTTTTTTCGATGAACTGCTCACAACAGTTTAAGTTAATCTTCAGAATACACAGATTTTTCATTCATCAACCTTCTGTTTAATCATTAGTATGCGAGATATTATAAAGCAAAACTATGTACCTAATGGGCAATCATCACCAGGAAGTTTGCAATCTGGACAACAACCATCAAATGCCATTCGACAGATACCACAATTGTCGTCATTTGCTACCCAACGCCATGTAGCAACTCCGGTCCAACCTAGAAGAAATTCAAAAATTAGACTTGCAAATCAAAAATAATAAATCTGACACAATTTCAAGTTATAATAGCTAAGTAATAGTGCATATGAATTGTCTCACTTCTTATTGTAACCTTCATATCTGTTTTTCACATCCCTTATCACACTTCTATAAAATCTACATATAATCAAACCCACTATTACGTATTATCACAGCACCGTACACGAATACCAACACACAAACACCGATAATTCAAAAATTAAAACTTGACAACTAGCATAGTCCATGATGACACGTATATATTGTTCTGCCATCTATTGGCATCTATCTCGAAACTATAGTAAGGATTCTCCGATGGCTAGTCGGTATAAACACTAACTACAATCCCACTCCCCTTTGACACATCACATGTACAATTAATTTTAAAACCTTAAGACGACAGTCTTCTGGGATTTGCACCATGTAGTCTGATAGAAACTGGTACGAACCATACGATTAATACCAACGAACCAGAGACTTCCAACTTTTTATTGTGAGCAATAATGTTAAACAGAATATTCTGCAGTTGACACAATAAACTTTTACTCAATTTTGTTCATTTTCAATATCAATTACTGAATCAGAAACCAGCAACTGAGAAAAATTCTAGGAGTGTTAACACAATGTCAATTATATCGACAATTGTAAACCACAAGCAACACAAAAGCACATGGTAGCATGTATGGGAGGTCAGTGACCCAATGTAATTGGTTAGCTATTACACGTAATCACACATATGTACAGCACATGTTTAAAATATATGTTCCCCATAAAGATATAAGTAATTCAGTGATAAAGTAAACTATTATTCCCTTCTCCTCCCCTCCCTCTACCCACAGCCATGAATATATAACAAAATGTACATGACATAACAGATCAAAATTAAATATTGAAAAGAAAAAAAAGAGAACAACCTTACACTTTTGTTCACAACTTATACTAGAGTCAAAAAGTTTACTACATTCTGTTGTTCATTTTACCAAGTTACTTACTTCAGGAGCGTAACAAGAATTTTCAAATTTAATGCATATTCTCAGAAGTTCAGTCCAGTGTAAGTTGGTACGACACTTGACATATTTCATGGGTTTCGGCCATATATTTCATTATCTTTTTTATCATTTTTGCATTATCTTATATCACAACTTTTGCCACAATGCTTATGGAAATCACAAAGAAAGACAGACAGAATGATGTTAAACAGGAACAATGGATTAGGAAAACAACTGCATTAGTAATGTCAGCTTAGTAGCATGTCAGAAAATGATGAAGGGGATTCAAAAAATGAATTTATAGTCTTAGTTTGTCACAGAGCTTTGTTTTGAGATGATCTGGTGGTGCTAGTTTTGCATAAGAATAAACAGAACATAAAATAATTTATTAAATATATGTAAAAATTATAAATAAGTTATTAAAATAACCACATTTATAACTTGAAACTAATGTACAAAATGTGATCACATACTGTTCAAAAAATAAGTACATTTCTACATGGATGCTGCTAATTTCAAATTCTTCACACTTTTCTTGACAGCGGGACTGACATGAAGCACAAACAAATTGCACCATGCTATATGCCAGTTTTGTTATGATATTCATCTCCCTGCAAGGAAGGATAGCCATTCGCACAGTACTGTCAAGAAGCTACAAGCGAGAAGGAAACTGCAAAGTTGCCAATTCAGGCTTTCTTAGGATAAGCCATTACAAAGAGCGTCTGGAGTGAAAGAACTGTTCCAACAGCACACAATGCAAGAGTTATGCCATACAGAACTTTGTCCACTGGTCCTCCTTTGAGGTGTATAGGCACACCATCATTTTTCTGAAACACACAGGAATACCCTGTCATGATTAGGGACTTCCAAGGATTATAAGAAGTGATATAACAATTTGAAATATCAATAAATGGAACAATTAATAGCGACATTTTGCAAACATTAAATTTGGATATGGTATGTGTGTATCTGGAATAACTTTTACTGTAGACCATCCACCTGAGACACAAGTACATTGTCATTATATCTGTCCGTCTAACAGCAGAAATCATAGTATTCTACTGCATGACAGTCCCTATAATATAATAGTATGTATGTATACTTTCTATTGCTAATAAAAGCTGATGCTGTCTTAAGCATGCACTAAAAACAGACAGTCATGAAGGATTATGATAAATATTCTGAAATCCCTCTCTGGACAACTATCTGAATAAGAAATTTCTCATAAATTCTTTAACACAATACACCTGCAAACATCACAACAAGTTCTGTAAAGTCTTTACAGGCTAGCTTTGATAAAAAAGTATTCAACTAAGAGCAAAGACCGTCACACTCCCTGTATAAGACAGAATGTGCATAGAGAAATAAACCAGACTATGTGAACGCTTTAGGAAGTGAGGTTCAAAATGGCATTAAGAACTTCAGCTGTTATTACATAACACCTTGTTTAATCTGAATATGTCTTTCAATATTGCAGGACACGTCTTTCAATGGCTGCTGCTAAGATTATGGTAAGTACAAGGTTTTCATTCACAAGATTTTAAAACAATGACACATTCTCATTCAGTACATTTGCTGCAGTATATTTCCTTCTTATGTTGTTATCCACATGGCAGCAAGCATATCACAAGTTACAGCACCACTAGGAATGACACAGACTTTCAAATTGACCACTCTTCGCATTCTACAGTTGGCATAGCAATGTTAAAACACTGTAGTCTTTAATAATGATTAAAGGAGAGTTCAAATAATCTTACCTGGAATAGGGCCTGTTTCTTTTTGAGGGCTGCGTACAGATCACTTTTATTAGTTGATGAATATCTTGTAGATGTCTGTGTTACAGGCTTCACACTGGCATCTTGAAAAACAATCTTTGGTGGGTCATTCTTGTTCAGCAGTTTTACACTCTGTTAGAAATGTTAAAATTATAAGATCTCAGCTTAATTTCTATTGTATTCACTTTCACATGATATTATGGCATTATGATGTCTTATGAATTGCAACAAAAGACACTCTCCCAGAAAATTAACATCTCAATATTTTCCAGTCTTAAACTGGATTATTCTAGAATTCCTTATTTGACAAACATGCCCATTTTTCAGTCGACTGTAATTGAGAATTTTATACTTTATCTGTTTACGTGTTACTTTCATAGACATACAAAAAGAAAGTAACATCGGTCTCAAATAATCTTAACCATGTGTTTATTACAACACTTATCCTGAAGACCAAGTCAGCCAGCAAGGTTAGTATAACATGTTAGCCTAAATTATAGTAATTACTGCATATCAAAGTTTAGATAGGATATATAATGTTGACTGAACAGGCAATATAAATTTATATAAAGAATCCTGAAAGGGAAGCCTCTACGAGACCTAAAAGATGTGTGAGAATAACGTTGAATAGGAACACAGTAAAATGGCTTATAGCTCTGCGTACTGGACTGAACTATTTCTGGATTGTTATAAATTGTTAGTTTCGGTATTATTGGCATTGGCTTTTCAAGTTTCGTTAATACAGTTACTTCGATAGTTGTAACTCATAAACCACTTCTAGCATGTAAAATTTGGTACTATATAAGAAAAAGATTCAGATACAACCTTCATGTGCCAATTTCTAACCTCAGTAAATATCAAAAAGGAGTTTACTATACTGGAATTAAGTTATTCAATAATCTTCCACCTACTATAAAAAGTTTAAACTACAAAATAAAAATGTTTAGGCCAGCGTTAAAAGAGTATCTCCTATCTCACTCCTTCTACTCAACCGAAGAATTTATAAATAAATGTCAGTAATAATGGTGATGGTTCCCATAATAATTATTTTGTCAATAATATTTTATTACATTCCATGGATCCATAAGACAGTGAGATGACAATAGGATGTGGAAAAAGTCATAATAATAATAATACAATACATATTATAAAGTACAATTCATACTATTATATAATAGCTGTTATAACTACTTATCTTGTACTAGAAACAAGTATTGTATTTGTGATATGACCTGTTCTACATCTTTGGTTTAGGCCTATGAAGGAACTATGGTATGTAAATAAATTCGATTCTATAAACATGCACACAATACTATAAAAGCTCTGCTTCGTGAGTCCACCGCCCTGAGCTGTGTGTGTGAACTACTAGCCAATTATTACTTGGTATTCTCTCGTACTTATAGAATATACACACAGCGATTAAAAATGAACTTTGAAGATATAAACTACAGTGGATTATTAGTACGAACCCATTACTGAACTAATAAATGGCGAACAAAAGTTTATTTTTCAATAATTATATTAAGTAGTAATTTAAGGCAAATTAGTAGCTTTGTTATTTGTTCTAAAACTCGCTAAACAATACAGTAACATTCACTCCTATGAATGCCCTTTAGGAATGTACAGATAAGGTAACAAATTAGCTCTTACAATAGGAAAGTAAGGTTGAATGTGAGCTGAGCCGATAAGCCTGCCTGTGAAGCTATTAAACCGGTAATACATTGCAGTAATGTTGTAAAGAGTTTCTCGGAAGAAAGAAATAGCCCACGTCGTCTGCTAGCCACTTCAGCTATCTTCAAGAGCACTTGTCGGAGAGGTCTCGATTACAGATTACCAACATAAGATTCTCGAGCACGGTTTATATTAATAACTTTGAATCAATTCTTTTATCTCTGTCGTTTATCATGGATTATAAATTGAAGTCCACTCGGAAATTCACTTGCGATAGAAACAATATGGTGTAGCATTAACATCCCAAACTGCTGTGCGGTGACCTTACGTGACCGCCTCCATCGACCCTTCGCCGAAAGGATATACCAATACATGCACCTGAAGAAATTAAACATTACAAATTCTTTTAATAAAATTACTACTGACAGTAACTGCGACAAAGAAATAATAGTTGAAGGGCGCAAAAGTTCTGAGAATGGAATTAATGTCCAGTATTCTGGAGACAGTCTCTACCTCCAACAGAGGTTCAACCCATGATCACAGTGAAGATTTCATTGTATGCAAACCCAATCTCTTCATCATATATTCACTTTATACTTACTGTGCAGACACTAAAAGAAATGTAATATTAATAGTTCCAATATCTTCAAAGTTTTTATGATATCAAGTCATCAGCTGACATATGCAAAGAGTAGATGAACTAAATTACAATTTTTATTCAGGCATATGCAGGCCTCAAATGCAAACAGAATGAAACCTTATTGCTTATGCAAGATGAAGTGTAACTAAAGCAAATATATATATATATACATATATATTATAGATAATTATAAAACACAAAAAGAGTTAGAGCTCTAATTTACACATCAGCTTTGAGTTAAAATGTAGCCATGGAAATAAGTACAAATCTCAATTTCTCAGTTCAAGATTAAATAATAATAATAATAATCAAGTAACATGAAGAAACATTTATATTCCAATTTTAGATATTTAATTATCTATATAGCTGTGAGAAGGTACAAAGACAACTAAATAATCTTGGTTCAGTATCCAAAAGGCTTTGAACTTCTGCTCTTGCTACTATTACTATTAATATTACTGCTATTTAATGAAGATGAGAGTAATTTGAGTTTTAAGTTGAGGGTATTATCCTTTAAAAAATACAGGAATTTGAACTGTACACACATTACATAAGCAGCCTGATATCACTGAACTTCGAATTATTTGCTAAGAGATAACAGAGGAATGAGTTAACTCTAACCTCTCTCCTCCTTAAACATCTTTTATGAAATATATAACTGAGAATAAGCTTTCTTCATATTAGCTTAAACACTTACATTGTTACTCTGCAATAATGGGTAGTAAAATACATACAGGTACACTTTTTAATATTATAACATCTTTAGACTTCATTAAAATTGACACTAAAGAATTTAAAAAAATATAATGAATTATTGTTTTAAGATTTCTATTTATACAATCTTTTTTCACATATATTTTATAATCAATGTAAAATAAATCAACCTTTCAATTCTGAAATTCTTAAATGTTCACAAAGAATTAAAAATATGATGCATGCACTTCCCATACACATTTCACAAAATAAAATCTTGGAAAAATCTTTAAAATAAAGTGATCAAATGTTCTAACCTGTAACTACATTCTGGCTTTACTTATGGTTCCTATTGTGTATCTGTGTGTGTATATAAACTATTTAACATAACCAAACACCTAGTCCGATACCAAATCTGTATTTAACTTTCAGTTTTGGGATCGATTTCACCTGAAGAACTGGGGCGAACTTTGACTCACGAACACTTCTCAATGGATTTTCAGCAGCTGTATGTTGAACCACCCAAGGAGCTTAAGTCATTTTTTGAAAATAAAATATCACTTGATAATGTTGGATTTATAAAACAATATCCGTAAGTTAATATATTTCTCTCCTAGTGTTATTTTGTGTTCATTATGTTAAAAAATACCACTACATTTAAAACACCACCAGATTTGTTAGTGTTTTAAAAATAAGTTCAGGATAGAAGGGCTGGTTGAAAAATACCTGTTATTCATAGAAGTTAGGTTAAAGAAAATGGAAACCCAAGGGTGCCAGCTTAATATTCTTTCCAACTTTCATCATAAGATAAGGATCATCATAAGAACATGTTGCACTCATGGGAACAGACTTCATAAAATATATAAATTCAGTGCTCTAGGGGTTCTGTTGCTGCATGGCATGAAAATGCATATGGCTTCAATAATCAGCATATAAGTAAAAATTTCTTTCACCACCACAGAAGGTATTTTCAACCATGATTCTGTTTCTGCACAACAAAATACTGTCAGTACCAAGGAAAGAATAGAACAGAATTTTTCTGCAATCCACAGTGCCTTCATAGGCCCAAGCCAAGGATGTATAATATTTAATATCACATATACAATACTTGTTTGTAACACAAATATGAATTAAACAGTTATGACAGTAATTTACAGTCATCCACAGTATTACTGCAAAAATAATTATAGACGAAAGCATAAACACTATTGCTTACACGTATTTTTAATAGATGAGAATTTGTGGTTGAGTAGAACAACTGTGATCAACTTTTAAAGTTCGGAGACTGATTAGTTCAACACAAGATTTTGAGACATAGGATTGTGATTAAAATGAACTGATTTTTGTTACTGGTGTAGCTACAGCAGTAAATACAATTGCTTGTTTAATGATGCTGAGACACATGCAGCAGTTCTGTACGACATGACATTGTACAAACAATTTGGAGGTGGATCAGTTGTGGAAAACTCAAGCCATGGACTGCAGAGAAATGTTAAGTTTATGAAGGAAGTGAGTCAAAAGACAGGAGTACATGTCATTGCTGGTACAGGTCAGAATGATAAAGATTCTTGTCTTGCAATATTTGAACAGTAAAATCAGGTTAACATATCTGAAGCTCTTTTTATATTTTACAAGTTTCTGTAACACAAGGTCAAACTTGAGGAGTTAAGAATTTTTCACTTGAATAAGAAATTCCCACTTAATGCCTGTCAATGTTGTTCAGTGTTAACCAAACCAGGAATGTGCTGACAAATTTTAGTAGAAAACTTAAGGCCAGTTTTTCATATGTTGAGCCATTTTTGAGAACTCTTATAAGCCCCATTAGAATGCCATCCAAAATGGAGGTTATACTGAACCAAAAATAAAAGTTTCCCCATAACTTTTAGTGCAGACCCATAATACCAAATTTAATCAAAATACATTAAGAAATTTTAGAGATGTAACATGTGTACAGACATTTTCTGTTGCCGGTAGTACAAGAAACTATAAAAACAGAACAATGGACAAGCTGATATACTAACTTACTGTGTGCTGTACGTAGGTCATTACATCTCCTATGTTCAGCCTCCAAGTGTCCTCAAGTTGTCACAAGAGAATATGTACAACTTAATGCTGAAAGAACTGACAGATGGCTGTGAAGATCAACCTGATGTTAAATGTGGTTTCATTGGAGAAGTGGGAAGTGGATGGCCACTTCATGGTGAGTGTTATTTATTTATGGATTACTTAATAATGCTGTAAATTTCTCAGATTATACAGCACAAAATGATGCAATGAGTTAGTGAATAATAAAGAGGAGAAGTACAATGTGAATCTCAAATACTAATTTTTATTTCAGAATTTACACTAACTTATATATAATACAACATTTTACCAACATGAAAAAATAAAAAAAAAGATTCTGTACTAACAACAATATTTAACACATGGAAACACATTTAATTAGTAAGTTGAAGAGGACTTACAGTGCACAGAGTCAAATAATTTTGTGAATTTCAATATGTAATTTTTGATAACTTTAAACACAAGTCCAAGTTGTCTCTGATGCAAGAGTGATATTTTGACTAGATTATATTCCTCAAGAAGGCAGATTCATATAGATATGTAACACTGAAGTAAGTAGAAGGTCACTAGAACTGACAACTAGCTTAGAGTGGAAGAATTCAACATCTTACATTGCAAGCTAATATAAATTATAAGTAACAAAAAGGATTACTGTTCTCCCATGTATTGGTGATCCACCCAAAATTGATTTGCAGTTCACCAGGAGTCTGTGATGAACATCTTTCCCAGCCCTGATATATCACATCTGATATTGATGGTATTTTTAATTTTGCCACTGTTTCTTTACTTTCGCTATGATTGAAAAAAGTGCAAGAAGTTAATTTCTGCATTCCCTCTCTCATCAATTTTACTTAAGTTTGATTCTTGACTGCTCCAGACTTTGAAAGACGAGCAATCATAGCCACTGGAGAAGTACAAGCCCATTTGGGTTGTCCTGTCAGCTTTCATCCAGGGAGACATCCAGAAGCTCCATTTGAAATAATCCGTTTGTTTCAAGAAGCTGGTGGGAATGTGAAGAAGACAGTCATGTCGCATCTTGATAGTGAGTTATTTCAAATGTGTATGAATGACATCCAAGCTATAATCAGCATTGGAGGTTCGCACTATCATTTATCACCGAAACTTAATGTTGATGACCCACGTGAAGTGAAATTGTCTCAGGAAGATCAAAATGTACCAATCAGCTATAAACCTTACTTTACATGAAGCCCAAATCAAATTTTATATTTTAATCCAATATCTGTAAAATGTAAAATCAAGCAGAATATTAGTACATTACAGAAAATATTTTAAACACTTTTAGCATGTGACTATTTAACATTAATAATATGGGAATTAAGGGATTTAATTCCCATATTACAGGACATTAGAAGGTCAATGGTTTAGAGGAATGCTAGAGTGATGTATGGCCAACAGTGTGGACAATAGAGGTTAATGAAAATAATAATTTTTGACTCTATGCAATACAGCATCAGTACTGAGATCATCGTTACAACAAAAGACTTGCATCTGTAATAAATGAACATCAAAGGCAACAACACATGCAAAATATCAAAGAATGCATTTTAAAAATGTGTACTCCTTTGTATTCCTGTTCTCTCACTCAGTCTCACATATACTTTTCATGTTTTTCAGGGACAATTATTAAGAGTGAAGATTTACTTGAGTTCTCTAATCTTGGAACCTACTGTCAGTTTGATTTATTTGGGATTGAATGCTCACTGTATCAGATGAGCCCCACAGTAGACATGCCTTCTGATGCACAGAGAATGGACAAGGTGGTTTCTCTCATTGAGGCTGGCAAAGAAGACAGAATTCTTTTAGCCCATGACATTCACACCAAACACAGACTGGTAAGGTTTTTTGGCCTGAAAACCAAAATAACTGATAGCTTCTGGTTTATTAGTCTTTCAGTGCTGTCACAAAGATACATTGTTCTGGAGTTGACAAATGAGACCCATGTTTTTAATTTTCCAGATCAAATTTGGTGGTCACGGATATTCACATATTCTCAACAACGTCTTACCAAAAATGCAGACAAAAGGAATCTCTCAGGAGACAACTGACAAGATTACGATAGAAAATCCTAAAACATGGCTTGCTTACAGTCAAAAGTAGCCTGTTTCTGAGGACCTAAGACTCTGGTGAAGGCAGAATTATCCCAATTAGGATATCATTTTGAAATTATTATTTTCTTTATTTTAGCAACATTTATGAAATAAAAAGTAACAACTAAATCTTTTCAACCTACACTTACTGTTAGTCACATGAGGCAGTATAGCAGAAGAAAAATTAGGGATGTGGCAGACACTAGTTGCCATCCTGTTTGTAGTTTTTTCCAGCCTGATCAGAGTATGTGCTAGAAATGCAATATCATTAGTACTGTTTGAGTCCTATTATTATTCTGAATATGTTTCATTACTTAATTTCTTACTCAACAAGAGAATACTAGTAAATACCATATTATAAATATGCAGTGTTAACATTCCAAATAAACAGAAAGCTTTCCTGATTTATACCTAGAAGGAAATCTTGATACAATTATAATTTTAATGAGACACCACCACAAAGTATGAAATGGTAAAGTTTCATAACATGATGCCAGTACTTGTACACTTGTATGGCAGAGAACTAAATAAAAACAGAAACAGCAGAAATGTGTCTTTTGAGATATGTTTCTAGGGATAACCTTAAAGACCAACTGAGAAATACATTTTCTGATTACTCTTAAGGCGTTTTTTATATAAATGAAAGAATCTAAGAATGCATGGTTAGTTGGTATTAAGATATTTGGTTCATGTAATCAGGAGAATAATCCAGTGTATTATAAACAAGAGGTATGGAGAGAACACATACAGAACTCTAAACTTCTAATACTCCACACTGCGCTATAACCCAGTAGACAACCGTATTATTTCATGTTTATTTGCAGTTGGGTTACAGTTATACTTCTGCAAACATATTATTCCACTGAACCCCAACAACTCACAGGAACAGAAACGGAACTGCAGTGCCTGCCGTAAACAAAGACATAGTGGACAGAAAACTACCATAGATGTGCCAGTGGAAACAGTATGATCTAATTCTCTGTGATGGTAGTGGTATGATAGTTATCTATGGCAAGTCTGTACTCTTAACCATGCTGATTTTGTAGCCGGGGATGTTTGTATCATGTACATCAAGGTTGGCAGGTTGGCCCATCTCAAAATTTGTTTGGTTAGTAGCACTGATAAGAAAAGAAAGCAGTGAATAGGATAAATAGTTTTTTTGTATAAATATATTCTCGAAACAATCATGCAACATTCATATGCATTCATGAGTGGAGTTTTGAGAAATGTCACCAAAGAAACTCGTACGTCAGCTGTTCTAAAGGAATCAGTACGAAGTTTTGTGGCAAGTCGTGTGAGACTCGATTCGTTTAAAGTGCAAGACCAAAAGGATTTTCAAGAAAGAGTGAAGAATAGTAAGGTCCCAGTCGTCGTAGATTTCTTCGCTACGTACGTTTGATACATTGTATTGATTATCAAGATAAGCTGTTTGGGATTTTAGGTTCCCACGGCAGTGAGGATGTGTTTTGGGTTGTGACGCTATGTAGACTCGGGTAGATACCAACGATTCGGAGAAACATTATTTCCATCATCAGGGCTACCTATGAATCTAATTGCCGAGCATGAAACAGCCACATAATCAGTAATAACCGACTCTCAGAAAGTGTGTGGAAGCAAATTATTCCCAAGCCACTTATGAATAAACTGGTAGATTGCAGTAGAGTGAAGTGTAAAATTAATAGCATGTTCCATTACAGATGGTGCAATCCATGCAAAATGCTGACACCACGCCTTGAATCTGTCATTGCTGAAAAGAAAGGGAAGGTACTACTCGCAAAAGTGGATATTGACGAAAATACAGAGTTGGCCTTGGATTATGAGGTACTATTGTGGAAGTAATTAAAATTAAAATGGATGTTTTGCTACATTGCCTGCAACCCTTTTGATGCACATTTCTTTTTTCACATATTTCTTAATATATAATTTTGAACTAAAAATCTGAATTTGCACATATATAAATAAAAATTGCAAACACCATCACTACACCAATCAAGTACTTAACATTACATGGACAAGAAAGTGTTTTATTATTGAGAAATGTACCCATAATCATTAAATAATGCTCAAAACACATGACATTTGTAAATCTGAGGATATCAGTGTAGTTGGTTGTGATGTTACAAACATTCTTGATATTATAACATATTTACAATTTCTTTACAGGTGGGTTCTGTTCCAGCTCTTGTTGCTATTAAGAATGGAAAAGTGCAAGAACGACTGGTTGGTTTACAGGATATTGACAAGCTTAGGAAGTTTGTAGACCAGCTAATTCATAAAACTGATTGATAGTAACTTATTTTCAACCAATAGCAGGGACTTTATTACAAGTGTATATATCTCCTTCCAGTATATGATGAGAAACCATGTAATCATATTAACATTGTCCGAGTACAACATAACATCAGCACTGCAGCATTATTAAAAGCTGAAAGAGAAAACTTACTTGCAAGCAACATAATTAACTTTGGCATGCAGCAAAGATTCAGGACTTTTTCAAATATGCCATTTGTACATTGTACTTACGTTTTCCCAGCTGTCATGATTTGAGATACTATGAAAGAAAACTCTACACTACAAAGTTCTACTGTAAATATATATATCAATAAATGGTGGGAGGATGTGAAACACTCTTTGCACAGATGATTTTTATTAGAAAGTAACTTATTACACATCATCAAGAGATTGAAGAATTGATCTTGACCGTTCGTACATCACTTCTGGAACTTTTCCATCTGGGACTTGGATAGCAATATCTTCCTCTTTCAAACCTTCTTCTGAGAGTTTTGACCATAGCTCCATTGCTTTTATCACTTTCATAGTCTTTTCCACAATCATCTGTCTTGCATGCCCTCGAGTGCCAGAAATATAGTCCACTAGTATTTTGAAACTTGAATCTGGAACCTTAATAACAAAACAGTTTGGTATGTCTCAATGGGATGAGGAATTTTTATTCTTATTCATTTCACTTCAGATGCCACTTTTGAATTGAGTGATTACATCTGGGACAGGACTGTACTGATTTCAGGACTTTGCACATGTATTTTGTGGGTATGTTCAAAAACTGGTTTTACAAGAATAATCACTCTACTGTCATGCACATAATTCACATTGAAATGGCTTTCCAAAAAGAATGGAGAGAACAGAAGTGTGGTGAGTTGAATGTGATTGGAATTGAAAGTACAACAGTCATTAGCATCATCTGATAACTAGCAGTAAGATGTCTCCTAGGCGACATTTAATCAAAACATGACAAAACATTTGGGAGTTCAAAGATTTGACTGATTGTCAAATGAACTACTCCCAAGACATGAAAACGTGTAAGATTCATGTACAGACATGTGTTTATCAAAACCTGCTTTGAAATAATAAAAAAAACCCAGCTAAAACCCCACAAACAGAACTAAACAATGAATGAGGCAGGAAAATGATCAAAGTGGATTAAAGCAGACCAAGACCACTCACTTTATAATGCTATTCAATGTACAATTAATAACATCCATAAGTTTAAAGAAGCTAAATTACAAAATTGTTCAATGTAAAATACTTTTAAAAAATCCTCACTTTCCAGTAACAAGAACTTTGCAGTAACATATTCTATAAAAATGAGCGTGGTACAAAAACATTATACTTAGCTATAAACAGCAATACAGTAAAACGTCTCTAAGTTGGACACTTGGGGTTCCACGAAAATGTGTCCAATTTGCATAGGTGTCCAAGATAGAGGGAAGGAGAAAAGTCAGATTGTGGTCTAATGACAAAATAATCTATTTACTTACATACACTAGCTATTGTAGGCTCACTTGAATTAAGAATTAATGACAATAGTATTAATAATAATATTTTGAAGCCCACTCCCATGCATTGCACATTACACCTCAGCCTCAATAACATTTTATAAACTTAATTCCACCAATTTTCGCTTCCCCATCACAAAAAAGATTCCATTTCTGTTAACACAGTCTGAACTCAAATGCAAGCACAGTACTGACGGAGTTAAAACTGTCTTCTGCAATACTGTAGTCCAGTTAAGGGTTCAGCAAAAGAATAGTTAAACACTTGCAATGCATTCCAATGATGGGTTCAATGTCTATAAGATAATCCTCCAGAGAGGAGGCATTCATCAGTCAATAATTCAAAACAACAAAATATGTAACAATGCAACTGCAACAAACTCTTTCTACTCACCTTTGAAGGATCAAGCATATTTTGTAATAACCATATCTGTCTTAACTTTTCAAACTTCCAGTTCTGTCGATCTTCATGCCATCTTTTTAGATAACTGATACATTTTTCTATGTTTCTGTCTGATTTTTGCACTGCTTGCATCTTCTGGGCTTTCTTTGCCTTATTTTTCTTCTTCTTTCTCTTCTGTTTTGGTTCTTGTTCAATATCATTACTCTTTCCTCCTTCCAGTAACTTTTCTCCTCCTTTTCTCTTTGCTATATTCTTTTTTGTTTGCTCCCCTGACACAGCATGGGGATTTTTCTGTCCTATGTGAATATTGCTCTTCTTCGTGTCTTCTGTTATCCATTCACTTCCTTTTATTTCCATATTGAGGATTGTTCTGAAAGAAGACAGGAAAAATATTATTAATTACTGTTATGCACATTAAAAGCAAGAAGTATATAAGTAGAAAACTCAGTCTTCTTCAACATAAAATGTCTCCACAGTACAATTATTGGCCTGTCTTTAGGGTTTCATATGATTCGAGTAAAGAATAGGAATTGTAAATAAAACCAGCAATATAAACCAAGTAGCATTTTCATGGAATAGTTGTTCCTCAGTCTCTACCGGTATTTATTGCACTTTTAAGCGATGTAACCCATGGTGCAATACATTAAGATATCTAACCTCAGAACCTACAATACTTAAAAACGGTATAGTGTGAAAGAAATTATTTTTCAACAGCATCAAAACATTAAACAACATTGTGTTCTCACACCTCTGCAGTTACACAAAAATTACAGAGATCATAATCAAACTAAATTAGAAACAAAACAAAATTAACTTACATACACCATTCGATGGAAACTTATCGAATACTGAGGAACAATCGAATTCTCAGAGGAAATCGGAGAGGTAAGTGTCATTCTATAAGAAAAACTGTTGTTCGAACATATTGTGCTGCGACCTGTGAGCAAATCACCAGTAAACATAACGGACACGTAACAGTAGCCCAGTCGGTAAAAAGGCTATCTACTCAAAATTCCAAAACCCTCACCGATAAAGCCAACACACAAACCATGATTCATTTTAAAAC